CTCAAGGATACCAAAGGATGGCATAGTAGGGTTTCATTTGCATAAACAGCATTTAACAAACATTTGAGAATTTAATAAAACAGTTAAGTAATAATTAATCAATATTAATCCAACGCTATACAACATACCCTGTTGCATAGGCCCAACCATTCTGAACAACCATCCCGGCTGCACAGTTCTATCTCCAAACCAGGAATATACCATTCCAAACCAGGAGCTAATCAAATTATTACCAATTATAACATCTTTTGTTATGGTGAGAAGTGTGAGACTAATCACGAAAGACATTGTTAGACCCGCCCATAACCGCGGGCACGGCTATTCGAATAGTTTTACTCTGATCAGAGATGTACCACTGTACCCACAAGACACAGCTACACATCATGTCACCATGTGCCTCAATACCACCACGGTACCTCGGAAAGGAGCTGTGACATTACCTCTCGCACAACACAATCCACTACAGCGCACCTTTCCTGGATCATAATCACCGGCGGCTCGGGCGGCGCAAGCTCGCCGGCGAACGACGGCGCGACGACGAGAACGGAGGGCACCAGGACGTAGAGCGCGACGCGGCGAACTCACCGGTGACCAAAGAAGCGGCGGAAGATCAACGGACGGCGACGGCGTCGAGGTCGAAGCGGCGGAGAAGATCGGGTCGACGGCGGCGACGGTGCTCCGGCGGTCTACAGCGATGGCGAAGGGGCGGACGAGGACGGCGACGACTTGGCGACCACGATGACGACCTTCCCGAGAGACGGCGACGACTGGAACGGCGGCGGCGCACGACTAGAGCAGCAGCGACGACGGCGGCGCGAGGTCACACGGCGCTAAGGCTCTACCGGCGACGAGAGGCGAAGGCGAGGGTGGCGGCGGGTAGAGGAGACACCGGGGATCCTTTTAAAGGGGCTAGGAGGCAGCGGCAAAGGCCCACGGCGGCCGGCGACGCGAAGGAAACCTCGGGCTCGGAGAGAGAAAAACCGATCCGAATCAACCTCGAATCAAACACTTTCCAAGCGATTTTAGCCGATGATTCCAAAAGAGAAAAGGTAGAGGAGATCCCGAGGATCATTTCCCCTCTAACGATTCGGCCGGAGAAGGAAAGACGCGGCCGAATTTGGAAGGAGACGGCGGCGCAGCTCGGCTAGGGTTTCGGGCGGCGGCGGCGCGACGAAGACGACGACTCCGATAGGCGGGCCCCACCTGTCAGCGAGCGAGGGCGCGCGCGCGGCTGCGGCGGACTGGGCCGACTTGGGCCGAGGAGAGAGAGAAGGGTTTTGGGCCGACTTTCGGCCCAAAGCCAAAAGAGACTTTTAAAAACCTTTTTCAATTTAAATTATTCATGAAATGCAATTCCATTTATTAAAAATACTTCCTTAGCTCAAATAAATCCCAGAAAAATCTAGGAATTATAGAATTAAGCAAAGTATTTAATGAAATTTTATCTGGCCCCGTTTTATATTGGAATTTATTAATTAAAATTAGATCTTCTCTTCTAGGCTTTTTAAAATCATTTCTAAAAATTCCAATTAAGCAACAATTTATATATTTTGAAATTTTAGGGTGTGACAACCACTCACAAACCGGCACCGGGCCTCCTCCACAATCTTCTCGGATAGGTCACCGGGCAACAACTCCACAAGCCGTCTAGGAGGCGGCAACCTCCAAGAGTAACAAGCGATGACCCCGCTCGGAGATGATCAAGTGCCACACTAACTCTACAATTGAAGCAAATGCACTTGACTCTTGGCTAGAACAACCTCAACCACTACAATGGATGAACACTAAGCTCAAATGTGTGTGAGAGAGGTGCAAGGGGTGTATGCAATTGAATTGGGTGCCAAGAGAGCCCCCTTGCTGCTGGAGGGGGAGTATTTATAATCCCACCAACCAAAACTAGCCGTTGGGGGTGAAATCCCCCAACTCTGTGTACTGCCGGTCTGACCGGAGGTATGTGGCCGGTCAGACCGTGCTACTCTGCAACGGCTAGAAAGCTAGCCATTGTAGCCCTATCAGAGGGGCCCATCGGCCTGGCCGGTCAGACCGACGTTGAGTGGCCGGTCAGACTGGCCTCAGCTCGGTCAGACCGCCATCAGCTCGGTCTGACCGAATACGGCTCCGTCGGCTCTATATCGGCCACCCCGAGCAATAGCATCCCAGCCTCCAGGGAGCCGGTCTGACCGCACAAGTGCCGTCGGTCAGACCGACCTTGTGCGCCGGTCAGACTGCCTGCTTAGGGCCAGTCAGACCGGCCAGGGACCGCCGGTCAGACCACCACAAGGTGGCCGGTCTAACCGCCCCTAGTCAGGCCGAAAACCAGTGAATGCAAGGTGTTGTGTGTGTTGTGTGAAATGTGAGCACAAGTCTAAATGCATAATGACCTAATGTGGCAATTAAAATCATCTCTTTGCTAGGTCATTACCCCTCTTAATAGTACGGCGCAACTAAAAATAAACTAGCAAATTTGATCGCCCTACACCTCGATCAATTCAAAACTAAAGCACTAGTTTTACCATCTTCTTTCCCTTCGCTTTGCGCCGTCAATTTTAATCCATCGATAATCATCCATGCGCCCACATGATGTGAACCTAACTTAAAATATATAGCTCAAAGACAATGGTTAGTCCACAATTAATCCTTGTCATTAATTACCAAAATTAACAACGGGGCCCAGATGCTTCAGCCGCCGCCTTTCGCACCGCCTGCCGCTGGTTGTCGTCGCCGGCGACCGCGCGCCTCCGCCGCATCGCCATTGGCCGGCCGCCTTAAAGCCGAGGCCGAGCCTGGCGGCTGCTCCCGCCACCGTCCGATCGGCTCGGGGCCGATCTGGGCCGTCGGTCCCGTGGACCGGCGGTGGACCACTCCCGTGGTCCCGGTCCACGGTAGACCGGTCTCCCCCTTGAGCCGCTGCTAGTGGGGCCCGCCTGCTAGGCGCCTCCTCCCTCTCTCTTGAGCCGCTCACATGCGGGGTCCATCTGTCGGCGTCGCCACCCCCCCTGATGACGCCAACAGGGATGATTTATTGTGCAATAAATCATTAAGGGCTTTTCTTTTATAGTAAAAACACAGAGAATCTTCTAAAATTCATAACTAATTCATCCGTGCTCCGTTTAAGTCCATTCAAGTCTCAGTAAATTCATAAAAATACAAACAATCCATTAAAAATGGTTTTATTTCCTGTTTCAGTAGTCTTATAGCATGTTTTGCTTGTGTGCTTCGTTTGCCACGTAGATTTCGGCCGTTTCGTCGATCCGCGGTTCCTCGAAGACGTTGCTGTGGTCCCATCAGCGCGAGATCAAGGCAAGTCATGCATTACAATTGATCATATTGTACCCAATTTATAAAAGTGTCGCATTTCTATTCAACATTGCATTATTTTACAATATCATGTGGGATGGGTCCTATTACTCAGTCATATGTTGTTCACCTCATGCCATTGATAACTTGGGTATTAAAATGATTAGATGTTGGCTTAGGAAATGCTTAATCATGCTTAGTTCAACTAGTACACAAAGGGGGAATCACATTAATGCATAGACTTTAATTATTGGCATAGCTTTGGATTAGTGCCACCGCAATGGTGTTAGTTAATTAAAATACTCTACATGATGGGCTGTGGGTGCATAGTTTTGCTAGTCGTGCCCATGGCGATTAAGGACTAGTTCGCCGGATGCCCTAGAAGAACTTATCGTACTTACCACAAGCCAGCGTGGGCAACAGCTGGGCTTGTAGTGTAGCTTTCCTCTAGCTGACGTACTCAGGCTAGGGTGGGCGTGATGGAGTTGGGTCGGTCGGGGTGTTCGATTGATCGGCTTCCGGATTTACCGTGGCACGAGAAGGGGCCGCCCGTTGCCTGCTGGGGACGAGGGCGAAACCTGAGGTGTGGTGCGATTGGTTAGAGGGGGTTATGCGAAGGGTCCTGTCACGGCCTCTTTCCGGTATGTCGTGGTGGCATGTTGGCGCACGGAAACGTGTCGTGGGGCTGTGTCTTGTGAGTACAATTGTACACCTCTGATAAAAGTAAAACTATTCGAATAGCAGTGCCCGCGGTTATGGGCGGTCGACCAGATTCACCGTGATTAGTCTCACCCCTAGTTAGCTAATGGAACTGGTTAGTTCAGGTGGTGGTTTGGACCTGTCTCAACGTGGTGTAGCGTTGAGCAGTGATTGGTTAATATTGATTAATTACTACAACTGTTTTACTGCTTTCAACTACTGCTTTTAAATGTCTGCTTTATGCAAACGAACCTTTAGCCTCCTTTGGATCTATCTTGCATCATACCTCCTCTTTCGGTATGACTTGCTGAGTACAGTGGGTAGTCTCAGTCTTGCTCTTTCTTCCCCACACTAGAGTTGAAGTGCTGCACCGTTGGAGGTCGATATGAGGAGTTGGTTTTGTCGCTGCCGTCAAGGATTGCCTATAGAGTGGAGTTGCCCCGCTGCAGAAGTCAAGCTTCTAAGTTTAGCTCGCTTTTACCTTTTCTACTGTATTTGTAATCTTTTTAATTTTTGTAAGATATGGATCTGTATGTCAATAATTATTGTTTGTGTACCGTGACAGGTTCTGGACATGGGTTTAATACACATTCAGCTTAGAAATTCTGGTTCGTAAATTTCTGAGCGTGACAAGTAATCGAGAAACTATAACTTTTCTATTGTGATCGACAGGACGCATAACACTTCCCTTTTCCGTCACAATGCATAGCACTTCCTTTTTAAAAAGCAATGGAACTATACAACTGTAATCGACACAACGCATAACATTTGTTCTTTTGACACAACGAATAACACTTTTTTTTTAAAAAAAATAAAACAATGGAACTGACAATTACCACTACTTTGGGTCGGAGAGGATATCTGTTACACATGAGCCGGTAGAATAAACACCCAACATGATCTAGTCCAAAAATATCGAAACTGTTCTTCACTTTGGGAAGTTGCACATCTATACGGCTGAATCCTCATATTAACCACTGCAACAACTGTTTTGTTCTTAGAGAGGATTTCGAACGACCAATGGTTTCTGGTAACCTTTATCATCAGTGCAGTTCATACAATAGTAATTTGCCATGAAGAACACGAGTATAAGGCACATCATAACATGTCTACCAGGTTTACAACCGAACATTATAAGGCACCAGAAAGCTTTATTGATGAGACGTGCCGAGGGTCCTACAAATAGATTCCTCCTATGGAGAATTAATACTAGTATATATACAAATCTATTTTAAGAAATATTTCGACCAAAATGCGTCTCCCTGACGACAATGTGCAAATACTCCATCCTCCTACCTGGAACTTGTACATTGCACGAGCTAATAACACCAGTGAAATCTAGAGACGCTGGCTATCTCCATACGGTCTCGTTCGCATCAGTGAAAATGGCATTGTGATGCTCAATGAGAGATTGGATGACCTCAATTGAGCTGTAATCTGGGGGCGACGCGTCATCCAAGGGGATTTGGGAAGATGCATCCACATCATCCTCATCTGCAAATCATTCAGGCAAATTGGCAGTTAAACAAAGAACACCAAATCCCTAATAGAATAAAAGTTAGTCCTAGCGTCCTATCGTATGGAGAAAGTCACAAACAGTCTAACTTTTTTTAGGGAGAAGGAAGCAAGGACTGTCAAAATGCTCACCATAACAGAAATCATCAGAAGTGAAATGAATAAGAATAAAGTAAGATTTACATACCTAACAGATCCCATTCTGTGGTATTTGATGTTGTATCCACAATTTTTGGAGGTGCTTTTAGGGTAAATCTAAGATGATTCCGCAAATCTGTTCCAGAGTCACCTTGCTGCCACATGATCAAAGGCGCAAATTCCACTGCAAGGCTACGAGAGTCCATCTGCATTTGAATAAAATCTTATGTAAATTGTTTAAAGATCTAGTTTAATGTGTTAGATCAAATACTACCATGATGAATGAAGAGCAAAGATATCAACAAGAGAAACACAAATAAAGCCATCATGCGAGTGGGTACCAAATGCAAATTACTAAATTATAAAGAGACTAATAGTGAAAAGTTGTGCTATGTGACCCACGGATCCATGAAAAAGAGACTTGGAACTGAGATTATTATTTCTTAAACTGATTGCTGCTAGCTATTGTCTTGAACCATATAGTAAGTGGCTGTCAAATATATCAAACATTGAATAAAAGTATCGTTCAAGTCAATCAAAGCAGTGATGTAAACAAGATAAGTTATGTAAGATACAATTAGCAACTGATTTCCTGTATAAGACATAAAAACTGGCGATTAATAGGCAAGTGTTTGGTGTTCTGAAGTGTTTGCAGTGACTCTTTTAAGCATTCTGCATTCTGAACTCAATTACACTTTACTATCCTGTCCACGAACCGAAAAGAAAGAAAAACATGACTCAGGCATTAATCATTGCTCAGTAAAAGTGCCAGGTTTACAGAAGTGCCCAAACAACCATAATATGAACCATTTCAAATTAAATAAAAGTTGTGATTTATGCAGAGGTGAAATAAGAATAAGATATACCTTGTTAAGCGATGATTTACGGCTTACTCTAAGTAGCAGTGCTGTAACAAACTCTAGTGTCATGTAGTTCACATTGGGAAGCTTCTTCAGTATATTTCTTAAATCTGCAATGCTAACCCTTGCATCTCTAAGTTCATCATAAAGAGAGAATGTAGTAAGTGGCTCAGGGATGCTAGCAAGATAGCACTTTATCAGTGCAGCCACATCAATGGGGTTTACACCATCAGGGAAAGGTGCACCTGAATCTGCAAAACAACAATAAACTTACAAAGATCACAACAATGAATCATGATCACAAAATCTAAGTTCAAACATAATGAATGAAAATGGTACCTTCATTGTAAAGAGAGACTAATTGCTGAAGAACTTTTTTTTCACCCTCTGATTTGAACAAGTACTCATTACTCAAACCTAATAAAAGCAAATTAAATGTCAGGTATGAAAAAAATGTAGTAATAAAACCACCTTCTATTGAATTTCAGCATTTTACCTGATATAACCAGATAATCTGCACATCTCACAAGTACCAGAGGCACAGCTTTACCAGATTGCTCTCGTTGTACGGTGGCTTCAATGGGAACACCAAAGACTGCAACATCACAAGGCAAAGTTATTGGCCATCAAATAGTCTAAATTTCCATGAGTACTCATCAGTAGACAGGAAAACAAAACATGCAGTAAATACCACGGAAATGTTGAACTAAACTGAGCAAAGAGTAGCACGTTAATCAAGTACTCCAGCTAACTGCTAGATGCTTAAGGTTGTAGAATTGCAATTATAATGCAATAAACTTTAGCTGCCTTAATGAAAATGATATATATGCATTCTGGGCAGACTCACCATCAGTGCTGGCGACTCCCTGAAACAAGGAATCAGAAGAAACTAAGTTCAGCATCGTACTCCAGATAAGGGAGAGTAGTACCAAGAACAAAGTGAATCACAAACCTTCTGCCAGCGTTCAATGTTGTTCAAAATAGTCTTGCTTTTGTCAGCAGTTTTTTTAGCAGCCTGCAACAAAGACAAACAAACCACAAAATTCAATCTCACTAAGCAACATTGCTATTTTAACACAAGGAACCAAAACTATAACCACAATGCAAAGATCAAGCCGCAATCTCCAATCAAATATCAAATGGCATGTTCTCAATTTAGGTACATGTGTTTTGAAGATTACCATGGATTAGAAGATATGTCCACCAACAAGAAATTCCTAACCACGTTCTCAAATGCCAACAACTAAAGTGCACTACTTCTTTCTTTTTCTTCAAAAGTCAAAACAGAAGGTATTTGTTATTCTGCTATATTTGGCTGATGACAGTTCAGTCTACCTCTGGGGCATTCTTTCTGTTCACATGATTCGTGTGGAAAATCAGAATGTGCTACAGATCAACTGATAAGGGTACTAATCATTGTTTCAAGAACTTGAATCTTGATTCAAATAATATGTTATACAAGCAGAAACTTCAAATTTACAAGATAACAACTGAGTAAAAGCAACTCGAAGTAGATTTTATCAAAAATCTCGCACCTCTTCAACTTTGACCTTTCCCACTGCAACTTTCTCCTTTGTCTCTGAAATGCCCTTCCTCAGAAGCACCCCAGTGGTGGCAGCAGCAGAGATGAAACGCTCTTGCACAGTCTCCCCTGGTGGCGGCTGCCTCTGCCTAGCCTCCTGGAAGACAGCCCACCGACTCTTAACCACTGAACCAACCTTGCCAGCAACATCAGCTATATTGTCCCCTGCTGATTGCCCTGCCTGCTTCAGCTTGAAGCCTGAACCAGAGTATCCACATAAGTTTCAGCACTGTAGCTAAAGTGGTCAGAACAATCATTTGCTTACTTTAAAATCCACAGAAATGAAAAGGCTGTCACACTCTTGGAATTGCATGACACAAAAACTGCTTGGAGCAATTCAGAACATGTAAATTCCTTTCTTGGAGTGGCATTTTTTTTGTTCCCAGACCAAAAGGGAAAATATCTCCCATTTCTTAAGTACAAACCGTAGAAATTACTTACAGAGTTCAGTAACTAAGAAAAAGAAGGCACTGGAAAGCTAGTACACAATTACCTACAAACACAAACTCGGGAAGGCAGGAACAGCAAAAGTACCATGATATCCAGCTATTTGTCCTAATGAGTAACTCTAGTTCCTAAAAGTTAGTTTAATACAAGGCATGACAGCAATATGACCCACAGTAAACCATAAACTAGTATAGGACAATTAGGCATGACAACTACATGATTTATATCTATAGTAAAACCAAGATTGGGTTACTGCCGAACGTACTGGATGAAGAGAAGAAATTCGTGGCCTTCTGGCGCCACTGAGGCGATTCCGCCAGCGGCATCGCCGCCTTCACAGGACAAACCTACAAATCAAGCCAATTCCAACTGGTCATTAGCGCTTCAAAGGACCTCGAGCACGCCACACACGAATCCGAACCACCTTTGCTTAGCAAACCCGTTACAGCGACAATCTAAAGGTAGAAACGACAGTCGTCGGAAACAGGAAAATCCACGCGGTGGTTGCGGTTGCTAGGCCCTAAAACCACAGCATCTGAACACGCCGCGAGCTCAGCTAAACCCCCGAATTCAGATCAACCCCACCCCCACCCAAACTAATTACTACACAGAAATTTGCCTCTTATCCCCCTCGCAGTTCATGGGGCGAGAGACTCGCGACTCGCGAGACCGAAACCCTAACCAGACAAGCCATGAAATCAACCGCCCCCCAAGCTTCTACTGCTACTAATCCATGGAAGCCAAGCGCCACAAAAAAAAAATCCCACAAAAAAAACACTAGATACGAACTGCCCACGAAACCAGCAGCGCCGAATCGAACCCACCCAACTCCCAAAAAAAAAAATCCCCTTCGATCGGAGCTCGGGGACGATCAGAGAAGCCATCATACCTCTCTCTCTCGCTCGCTGCCTCCCTTCGGATCGAATCGGCGGCGGAGCGGGGGGAGAAAGCGAGTGGACTCGGCGGCGGCGGCTCGCTTCCGCGAGTTCAAAAATCGAAAAAAAAATGAAGAAGAAGAAGAAGCCGAATTTGTTTGCTTCTCCTCTCCTCTTTTGTGTGCGCTTCGATCGGATTCGAAGCGAGAGAACTGAGAGAGAAGAGGGGGAGTCAATGGCGGCGGTGACGGTATGGGATTCCCATTCCCAATCCGGGGCCGCGCGTCGAGTGCCGTACAGCCGTCTCTCTCTGGGCTCTCACGCCGACACGTGGGCCCGAGGGGTGGGGTCGGGAATCGGTACCGTGGTTCTAGAAGCGTCTAGGTCCGCGGGGCCGGGTCCGGGATTGGGACTCGGGGGAGGGGTCGGAATGGGATTTGGATCGATGGGTGGTGGGGTGGATTGGATTGGTGGATGATTTGGGTTGCAGATTCGCGCGGACTGTAGGCGGTTGACCACTTGAATGGATACTCTTGTTTGGTTTTGTTTAAGCGGATAAAATGGATGGGACTCTGTTGAGTGAGCCCATCCTAGTATTTAAGTCGTGTTGTTTTCCGTGACAACGACTGTCAGTGACGCTAATAAACAGGTCTCTTTACGATTACGGATGGGCATCAGTATAGGTATAGCCATACAAAGTCAGCCACATTTTTTCCATCTATTTGTCATCAAAAATTTAAATTTTCAATTTTAAATTTGAAGTTGATTTTGAGATTTTCTCATCATAGTTTTTTATTTCAATGTTAGCTTTTAAATCGTTAAGAGCACATATATAAAAGTTTTGTTAATATTTTTTTTTTCTTTTGTAAATATGTCGTTTCGCTTTTTCCTCTAGTATTTCGGACGATGTGGCTGTTCATTTCTATTCTTCCATTTTCTTTTACCACCTCTTCTTTTCACTCTGACTAGATGATGAAGTGGACTCGATGACTGACGAGATAATGGCAGTTTTGTTCTATATGACATATATTACTCTAATAAGTTGTAAAATTTGGATCTGTATAAATTTGCATATGTAAAGTTGAGGACCTAGATGACATAGCGTAATTATTACTGTAAAGATATACTCCCAACATCATATATTAATTAATGAAGGGGGGATTTCTCAATACCATAGGAGTATTATATGCACTACTACAATTTCAATTACATCATCGTTATTCACAAACTGGAATTGATAGTTGCTCATGTTTTACAATATCAGGCGTCTTATTATTGGCTATATTCATAGATGCCTCATACACTCGTGTCGTGCTTCTATTTTAATTTAGCTCCGTTTGTAGCTAGCTGATAATGGGTTAATGTTTTTTTATGGTAAAAGAATTGATTTCTTCATAAGTATTTAGTACTGTCGTGTAATCGAGCCCTTTCAAAGCAAAACACAAAAAGGCAGTAGCACATAGAATGCGTCATCATCCTGACCATGTCACTCCCACCTCAAAGGTGACTCGGACAGTGAAAATCCTCCGCCACCCCCCCCCCCCTCCTCCTTTCATTTGCCTCGCCGTCGTCCGAGTGGCTCGTCGGCAAAGTCGGATGACTGCAATGGGGCGCTCCATCCACGAGGAAGCTCGGCGGCTGGGGCACCGTGGGTTGCTCAGTGGCGGTGGTGCCCAGATCCACGTCTCCTCCTTCGAAGCTGGCGAGGAGACCAGTGAAGAAGGAGATGGAGATGGTGGCGACGAAGCACAGGGCGTGGAGGCGGTGCCAAAGCTGGCGGAGGCTGGGCGGAGGAGGCGGTAGCGGCGGGGCAACGGGGACGGAGCCACCGGATCTGAGTCTCCTTGGCGAGAGAGATCTGGTCCCTATTGACGGTCGTTATAGATCAATTTCGACCGTCAATATTTCCAAAATGATAGAGAACTAGCAATGCTTGCATGCATACTTAGTTAGAAATAATATATTTCCACTTGTACTTGGCATTATATTTGCTTAGAGGAGATCACCATATAAATGGAGGAGAAATGGTGGAAAACACCTAATCAATCAGTCAGAGGTCGATAAGTGGCGAATAAATGTATGGAAGGGCCCACAAGCCCAATGAAACACCTGCAATTGGGCTCAGCTGACACACCACTGGACCAAGGATCCACCTAGCAGAGTCCAGGATGAAAGATTGGGCCGGGGAGGGGGCAGCCAGGGGTTGGCCAAAAACTAGAGGATAAGAGAGAGAGAGAGAGAGGAGGAGGAGGAGGAAGTTAAATATGAGGAGGAAAAGGGAGGAGTTTGTGATCGAGGAGGAGAGAATAAGTGTGAGGGATTATATACGACGCGTTGATTTTTAGTCCCAGTTGGTAAAGATAGTAGGGGGTAGACGCTTTTTAATCTTTAGTCCCGGTTGATAAGATCATAAAGTGGCGTTGGGCTTTTCAACCAAGACAAAAAAAAATAAGGATGTTTAGTCTAATGTGATTTTTGGTCGATTCGAAAGATCAGTTCTCCAGTAGTGGTTCATGCATTTACTTAGCGCCTTTTCTCTATTATATGTATATCTATATAGAAGTCGGAGCTCCTGAAGATCTGCTCTACCTCAAAGTCAATTCGGAAGAATTGGCAAGCATGCAACGCAAGTCACTGTCTTTTTTAGGGGCTCTTATTTTTTTATCATATTGGATCCAATTTTAATGAGAAAAAGCTATGTTGTTTTAAATTAATTGCATGGGGCTTTATAAATTACTGTCCTATTCCATATTTTTTCTTAGTTAAATTGCTATGCCCCTTGTATAATTAAGCCCTCTTATCAATTTTCTTATACCTTGACCTTGTGTAACCTTGGGAAAAATATAATTCTAGTTGGGCCCTATATGATGGCAACTAGATAACATTAGGCTAATACTTAGTTCAGCATAGGATCATCCAGTGTTTTTTAATTTCTCCTGATGCTTAACAAACTAAAATCTTACGGGAACCATTGACGAGGTAGTCAATGGATGGAGATAATTTTTGTTTTAGAAAACAAACTAGTTTTTGGGCTGGGCTTGGGGTAGTAGATGGCAAAAGATCATATACATCAGTACATAGCTAACATTAATCATAAAAAAGGATAGCACAAGTTCCTACATATCAACATAGCACCGGCTACAAAATAATGTTCAGTCAACAAATGGAAAGTCGAGACCAGGAAACTTTAACCACCATCTTACAACAATTAAGATCAAGAAATCCATACACTCTACCATCCCTTTGTGGTTCGAAGATAATTGTTGTCCTAGGAACAACAGCTTTTTCATCATCTAGAGCCTCTGCAGTAAGCTTCAATCCCCCCAGCACTTCAACGGAAACAACAGATCGAGTAAGTTTGACACTATTATTGTCGCTGATCACCATTGCACCCTCTCGAGGATCAAGCAACACACATTCCGTGCTGGGATGGTGGTGAGTAGAAGCAAAGAAATGTGGGCGTAGGGAAGGATCCAATGACCCATCAACGACTTTAACCTCAAATGTCGCCTCCACTGTCTCTGGAATTAAAGCAAACGTGATCTGCACCGTGCTGCGCTTGTTGGAAGCCACGCGCCTCTTAACACTACTACCATCGTCATAGATGCAGTTGAATGTAAAGGCATGAGAGCTCAAAACCTTGTCTTCAGTCTCCGCAATTCCCTTGACCTTTAGCTCAACTTCAAAGTCCGGATTGTCCATTGCCAAGACATATCGACTAGGCCCTGTTAACACCAAAGAGGAGTCCTGCAAATATTGATTACAGCCATATGTGTTATACACATATATTTCGATCCAAGACAAATTTGTTTTCAAATATGAAACACAGTAAAACAAGGGGAACCATAGTGTAGCTACTTTAAGTTGTACTACCTCCGTTTTTTAATAGATGACGCCGTTGACTTTTTCTCACATGTTTGACCATTCGTCTTATTAAAAAAAATTGCGTAATTATACTTTATTTTGTTATGAGTTGTTTTATTACTCATAGTATTGTAAGTGTGATTTATATCTTATATATTTATAAAAAAAAATTGAATAAGACGAATGGTCAAATATGTGAGAAAAAGTCAACGGCGTCATCTATAAAAAAACGGAGGGAGTACTAAACTGCGTAACAAAAAGACTAAGATGACATCAATTTATCTGTAGAGTATTTAACACGCATATGCTAAGAAACAAAAGCAATGCTATCTGAATACTGATGTGGTAGTATGTACTGCATATCTATATTGCTCAAGCTAGTACAACCATAACAGCAGAAGAACTAGTAAGTACCACGCAAATAACAAGATGACATCATTAGCAGGAAAAACTTGGGAGAAAAATAGTGTTGTGCAAGGGTGAGCAATGTTTAGCTAGAGCTGATTAAGGCAACGTTAGCACTGGATGTTGCAATAATAATGTGCGTGTGCGAGCAAATTTTCAGGTAGCTGATTTGAGGTAAGGTCGATCGATCACCTCCGCCGTGAGCGTTTGGCAATCGTCCCGGCCACGATTGAAGACGAGGTTGCGCTTGCGATCGACGCTGTCTCGCACGGCGACATGGCCAAACACCTCGATAGGCCACCGCAACCCACACTTGATTTGCTTCACCTCGACCGAGTACACCTGCACCGCGTCATAGCACTTGGCATATATTGCGCCTGGATCATCCGTGTGCCTCATAGGTGGTATATCAGCTGCGATTAGATCAATCATCCATTCATTTGGATTTTCCTCCTCTAAGATTCCGTCGAATTGAACATAGTAATAATCAAATAGAAATACTAGAAGAGAAGGTGGAGCAAGTACTACGCACTGATGTCTTCGAAATTGGCCTGGGCGGAGAAGAGGAAATTCCAGAAATGGCGGAAATTGAACGCCTGAGCAGCCTCCTTGTCCTCCTCCTCATCGTCGCGCACCCTCTTCGCCAATGCGGAGTCTCCCTCTCCACCCTCCACCTTGCGGGTACTCGGCTCCACCTCTGGCGGCGGCGATTGGCTACTTCCGGTGCTGGTGATCGCCGGCGCCGTCGCCTCCTCGCGTTTCGTGGCAGCACCCGCCTGCTTGTTCCCCCTCGCCGCTCGCGCCCCGACCGCCGCCGTGGTCTTGGGCTTCCCCGCTGCCCGCGTCCCCATGGCCGGCGACGGCGACGGCGACTCCTCCTTGCGCCTTGTCGGCGACCGCGTCTGCATCGCTGCCGCTGGCCGCCGCGAAACTCTTTCTGGGTTAGGGTTTGGGGCTCCTCTTTCGGCCTTTCCCCCTTGTGAAATGTATGGTCACTTGGATTTTCTTTTCTTTTCTTTTTTTTCTTAAAAAAAATGTCGCTTGGAGTTGGAGCCTTTGGACGCTTCTTCGCCAGCCGGTGGGTGGGGCTCGGGGACTCGTGGCATACTCCGCCTTCTCTATCTTCATCTCCATCTCTATCTCTGATTCTCTATCTCTGTCTCTGCCTATTATAAAAATTAAAGATTTTTTAATCGGTAATCTAATATGTTATCCATGTCTGAGTCAATTTTTAAGTTCGTTCACTAATTATATATTTGTATTTGAGCAGGTTTTTTAAATTCGTTTTTTTTGGAAATATAGGAGTCGTATAAGAAATATCTTTAAAAACTCGCATGCTAACTTGAAATGATCGGACTCCTAATTATAGCTCATGATCTTATAAAAATAATATCCAAACAAATTCCAACAGTGAATTTCACTTTAGTTAAACCGTATAACTATAATAAAATTTAGATAACCTTCACTTGTTGCAACGTACGTGCATTTTTTCTAGTATATTATAAAAATTTAAATTATTTCCGCCAGAATTTTGGTACATTATCCGTGTTTGAATCGGTTTTAGTTTTACGTTTCCATCAAATCCTTTTGTTTTTTTCTTATGCCAAAGTGCCTTTCTTATATTCGAGACGCGCGCGAATTAATTGGGTTCGCACCTTTTTCACGTGCCCCTTGCTGCACGCAGCGATCAGGCCCGCGCCCGAGTCCGTTTTCCACATACACCTTTGCACGCTGCTGCGATTAGGCCTGCAACGCCCTCACGTGAGCTATTTGCCCTTGCCGCATGTCCGATTGAAAAAAACTAAAAAAAATGTATGGTTTTTTTCATCCAATGTTTTCTCGTATCACCACTTTGATCTGTCTCCCCATGCGTTTCTTCTCCAATCGATAAAAAATCGATTCCCAACTCCTCTCTCGTCATTTTTCTCACGATTCCCCCTTTCAATTAAGTTTTAATTAACTGGATTTATTCTCAGTCGCTGATGATGGCCGGCCTGTCATTTTTACCCTGAATTTTGCAGATTCATACCGATTTCAGCAAGAAAAGGAAAGAGGAGATCGAGTGGATAAAAAACCCTCATCTAATTTTGAGAGATAAAAAAGATTCGGCTAGATTTGATGGGAAGATTGGCTCCGACATCATATGAGTACATATGCGTACGGAACTGTTTTTAATTTTTAAATCGCGGACAAGGGCAACGCAATCCCATTTGACATGCGACAATGGAAAATCGCGCACGCGAGGGCGTCGTGGGCCTTATCGGGCATGCGGAAAAATTGTGAGCGCAAGGATGTTGCACTGGTGAAGAAACTATCTTTGGTCAGTCCACCAAATTCCACTATAGTCCCGGTTCTATTAAAAACCGGGACTAAAAACGATTTTTAGTCCCGGTTAAAAAAAATTTGATCTTTAGTCCCGGTTGGTAACACCAACCGAGACTAAAGATCATCTTTAGTCCCAGTTCAAAAAGTCATCGAGTCGAATTCAGGCCCTAATTATCTTTAGTCACGGTTGGTATAAACAATCGGGACTAAAAATCTATTTTTAGTCCCGGTTGTTTATACCAATCGGGACCAAAAATAAAACCACCCGCGTGCGGCACAAAGTCTCGATCTTATCGTTCCATCCCCCTTCCTCTCTCTCTACTCTCTAGCTCTCATAAACAGCAACCTCAGATCGGATCTGGCATTCTGCCACAGAGTCTTCTCCTCTCCCCTTTCCTCCCCTTCCCCTCTCCTCCCCCTCCCCACCTCCTCCTCCTCCTCCTCCTCCTCCTCTATCAGAGCGAGCCCGGGCGGCGGCGGCGGAGGGCCGCGGCTGGCGGCTGGCTGCGGGCGGCAGGAGCTGGCGGCCGGTGGCGCCCTCTCCTCTGCCGGAGGGGGGAGGCGGCAGCGGAAGCACAATTTTCTTTTTTTTTCCGAATTTGTGATACATTTGGATCTAAGAACTTGTGATTCATTGGATCTGTGATGTTTGGATCTGTGATGTGTATGATGTGTGATGTATTTGATATTTGGATCTGTGGTGTATTTCTTTAAGAATTTGAGTTGTATTTTTTTGAGAATTTGTGATGTGAATAATTCATTGATTTAGGATGATACTTTGATTTTGGGATATTTGGGGAGATTTGGGAAGGAGCAACTCTTTGTAAAGAAACAATGAAAATAAAAAAAAGAAAAAAATGGTGACCAACCGGGACTGTGCTGCTATCTTTAGTCCCGGTTGGTAACACTAACCGGGACTAAAGATGCATTTTTAGTCCCGGTTATTTCAACCGGGACTAAAAGATAGTGATCTTACCGGGACTAAAAGGGGTTACCAATCGGGACTACAAACCATCTCTCCACCAGTGTTGTGGGCCCAGTCACGGCGACATACAAAGGCGCGTGTGGAAAACGGACTCTGGTCCAATAAGAGGATCAGTATTTTTTAGTTGCCGGTTCTTTTGTCAGATCTCAGGCGTATCCAATCTGTTGCACACGCACAGCACACCTCTAGCCGCTGCCCAGTCTATCGTCGCGACGCCGATCTACCTTCTCATACGTTTTCTCCTCTAATCGATTGAAAAAAAGATTCCCTACCCCTCCCTCATTATTTTCTGTATGATTTTCCATTTCAATCCAGTTTCAATTCGTCGCTCCATTGATGATGGCCTACCCCTACTTAAAAGATTCATATCTTTCCGTTCGTCACATCAATTCCATTATATTCGTCCATATCTTAAAAAAAAACATCACGTTTTTAGCGCTCAGTACGCCAGGTCCATCAACAAGCCCAAAGCCCAGACTACTTCCAAGAGTCCAGGTTCCACACCGTTTCCTACTACACATTATTACCCAACTAACGTGATTTTACAGACTTTCCTCGCAAGACAAAATACACAAATACGATCGTAGGCAAGATATACATATAGAAATAATAGAAGCACACAAGAACATACAGATCGCGCAACACAATAAAACACATATAGCAAGGCTCTTCCACTAGGACATCAAGTCACCTCCAATCAATATCGATTTCAGGTTTTTTTTTTTTGACGCAAGAAGGTAGAGCATGCTCTACCTTATAGTCATTTCATTGATAGAAATAAGGTTTACAGTTTACAAGTTTAGGGTTAGAGAGAAGAGAGACCGAGAGGGAGGTACATAAAGGAAAGCAGAGAAGAAGAGTAATGGGGAAAAGAAAGAGAATGTACAGGGGTATATAAGTATCAAAAAAAATCTACTAGATTTATGATAGCTCGATGCCTCGATGCATGGTTTGGGTCAACACGTTTTCAGATGAGAATGATATGTAAAAACCATCTCATTTTTACCGATGGTTTTCTTAATGAACCGCCTCCCAAATCCATGATTAATTAATGTTCACATGGGGTTCTTTTAAGGAACCGTCATAACAGAATGGTTTATACATGCAATCTACGGCTATGAGACGGCTTAATCATCTCCACAGGCGGTTGGAGATTTATCTCGCTTGTGAAAACAAAAGCCTAGGAGAAAAATAAATCCTTATTTTAAGTGTTATTTATTGTACTCTTTAGATAAAGAACAAAATAGTTATGCACGCAAAAAGGAAAAAAAGAATAATAGAGAGAACTAACTAAGCACTGCCATGCATGCTGATATCACTTCTACCAGGTGATGCAAACATCGTCGATCGATAGATAGCTTTGGTTACCCTGTGCCCATATATAGGAAAAGGCTATAAGTACTAGCTTTTTCTTACTAACTGATGTGATATGAGTGCATCTAGATTTTTTATAACTTCCATCTACTCAAATCAAACGGTTGAGATGATCGTTGGTAAAAGTTTAGTAAGAAAAATTTAGTACGTGTAGAATTGCTCCCATATATATATATATATATATATATATATATATATATACCAAAGATTAAGCCAAATTTAGAAGCTAAATTTAGAAGCTAATATTGGAAAGTTAATAAATACCAAAGATAATATCAACATAAGGTGTAGATTAAGCCATACTGAAGAACATAGTTGGCACTCTAATAATAGCCAACTAAATTTAATTGTAGATTTAATATATAATTTCTATATAAATTGGGGTAAGAGACAAGAAGATTTAGAGCAAAAGTTAGAAGATATATATAAAGAACAAAAGCAATTTGTAGAACAATATTCTTTTCTTAATAATAAGCTAAATACTACATTAGAATTATTAGAAGATTATAAGATAAGGCAAAATAAAATTTCACAGAATAGTGATTATATTAAAGAATTACTAGACAAAATCAACTCTAGTAAAGGTAAGGAAATAGTTTTGGCTTCATCTGGCATAGTCTCATCTTCACAAGCCATTAATTCTGAAAAATGGACATATCTAGGAGTCTCTTTAGAAGAATAGCAAGCAGAGATGATAACTGTTCTGATAAACAAAAAGGCAAATATGATGACATAGATGAGTTGAAAGATGTTGCACAAGTAGATAAGCAGCTCGAAAGATATCAACGAGATACTTTAAGGGCAATAAGACCTCAACAAGTATACTGCATGGGATTTTTTGAGAATAAGAATGAGCTATATAGAATATCTAGAGAAGTAGAATTAAGTGTTCTAAGAAAACCAGTAGAATTAAAAATAGTAGCTAAAGAATTTGAAAATAGTTTAAAATATTCAGGATATAAGTATATTCACCAAGATATGTACATAATAGGAATCAAAGGAATGACAAGAAAGAAATTAGGAGCTAAAGTGTTAATAACCTTATTAGATAAAAGATGGGACACAATAAACAAAGCATCTTTAGGCTATCTAGAAGGAGATATGAATGAAAATATGTTGATAACCTATATAGCGCCTGATTTAATGATGCCTGTAAATGAATTCATAGATAAAATGAGTTTTGGTTTTCAAACAAAAGGATACGAAGAGTTTAAGGGAACAAATTTATTAATAAGTATAGAATTTATAGGAAGATTGACTAATAGAAGTGCCTCCAAATACAAAATCAATGTAAATGATGTGATAGAAAAAATGCATTCTAAAGGAATAAAATT